TGAGAACGGACACTGACTGGAGTGAAGGTGAGTATTTCTAACTCAAATGCAGCCCAGTCACTGTTTTGACCTTTGAAGTTGCTCTCTGTAGAGAAATGGGCTGCTGTACTGGGTGCACTGCATCCAGCTGATACTTTGGTCAGATACAAGACCCAAGGAACATTTTTGTAAAGCACATAGTCTTTACGTAGCATTTGTTGATAAGAAATATATAAAAGACATCACAGGCAAGCAACATGTTGTCCTGCAATCCGCTTTACATTGAGGATTGAAAGGAAGTAATCCAACTCTCATACAGGGCCACTGTCTAAATATCTTGAAACATGAACCACTTGGATTAATATAACTCCAAAAAGTCTCAACGTGCTTAAATCACTGGAAATTCCAAAAGGCTTTTTAAATGTGGAAAACTCAACTCCTTCCCATGGGTTAATTCCCAGCTTCAGGCAGAACTCACATATTGATCTGGCAGTTTTGAGCCTTGAGAGAAACAAGGGTGGAGGAAAACACAGCACTTACACAATGACGGCAGAAATAATTGCATGGAAACAAGCTTTAGTTGTAACTGTTTAGATCTTGGTTGTTGATCTTGATATTACGTGCTTTGTCTCAATAGATGAAAACGCCACAATACTGGTACAGAATTTAATGTGATTTTAGATGCAGTAATTCACAGTGCATAGCATAAATACAAGCTCTAAAGTAAGATTTCTATCTTAATATCAGAGGTTCAATTACAAACTGAAAAGTTATGCAACACATTGTTTAAACTTTTTTCCACCCCAAAAACGATGCTAATACAACACAATAACTGCTGTGGCTGACTCACACTCCCCGTGATGTGGCTATAATGGCACACTGTATTTCTTGAGCTTTTAAATACTAGAGCTTTCTAGTGGAACATCTGAGTGCTTTTGAAAGCAGTTTTTCCATTAAACATATTGTATTTTGGCTAAATGGTCAATGTAGAGAAAAATCTCCTTTACTTTCTTTGAAAGTGCTTTAACAGGTGAAAACACCTTAAAGACAGATGAAGTCATTCATTCATAATCTGAATGAAGGTTTTGGAAATAGACATGGAACATCAGGCTCTGATTTTTAGTGACTAACAGCAGTGAGTCATGCCTGGGAATCCTAATTACCTTCATATGAAAGTGTTACGTCAGCATGAGCACTGGAGGCTCGAGTTTACATTGTGTTAAATAGGTCAGTTTAGTGGATGGCTGCAGACATGGACTAAAAGGTGAATGTTTCACCAGTCATGTGACTGCCTGTGTGTTTCCATAAAATCCTGCATAAACAACTAAGTAGTTTGATATATTCCTCATCTGATTCTTAGGGCTCCCCTGAATACTAAGAGCCATCTCTAAAAGTTTAATCTGCACACAGTCATGAATATGTTAAGCTTATTATGGACAGCTCTCAGGGATATGCCAAGAACCTAAGATGATTATGTTAAGTTAATAAAAGCGGTGACTCCCCACTTTACCATGTTTCTCATAACCAGACAAAAGAAATGTAAATAAGCTGATTTAACATTTAGTTAGTTTAAAAACTAACTAGAGAAAACCTTTACATCTGTGGCAGTGCAGTTTGTCTTCTAGTCAAGGCACAAGACCAGCTTACAGTGTGTTTTTAACCTTAATCTACCATCACTTTAACACTTTAATTATCACCAATTATATCACCCAAATATAATAACACCTCAAATTGGTCCTTTATCTGAGGGTGAGAACTCACAAGACCTAATCACAAGGTTAGATTGACGTCAAAAGGAAAAGTTTCCTTTATCCTGTTTCTGTGAACTCTACTCCTGTTGTTTTTTCAGAGTGGGCACTGTACAAAAACAGACTAAAAAAATATAATGCTGGCTAAAAAAAAAAAAAAAGTACCTCAGGCAAATCAATTCACAGAAACAATTGTTACAGTTCTCTCACATTTGCACTGTGAGACAATGCTTCACCAAAATAAAACCAAACACACAATTATTTCAATATTTTTGTTGCTGTTTCTTTTGATTTTAATCACTCCATCTGTGTGTCTGCTGGCCTGAGCAGGAGCATGACAGCAGTGCAGCCAAACTCACCCTATCTGCTTTGCCTGCATTATCTCACTCTAAAATGTCCTGTACATGCAAATATGATCCGTGACAGCTCGGAATAGGTCACGACACAGGCAAAGACTAATGTACACAATTAAAACTCCTTACGGACTGTGTGTTTTGCCTCTTCCACTTCCTGTGCCTTGAAATAATGGGCCGCATATGTTGCTGCCACAGAAAACTGTGAGCATGCATGTATGTGGCCCTGCTGGTGAATGGCAGACAGGCAGGCACAGTGTGGAGAGGCAGAGACAGGCAGCTGTGCGTAAGTAATACAGTCTCTAGAAACTGGGTCACACTCACGCCACTGTCATAATATCAGAGTATTTCACCTACTTTTGTGATCTGACAAGTCATATTGTCCTAGAATAAAAGAAATATACCCATACACACATGTAATTACATCATTTAGAGCATCACAGTAACACTATTGAACACACTGAGGTTGTATGATAAGGTTATTTAGTTCATACAATGAAGCACGGTAAGAAGCACAGTAGGTTTTAAATGAAATATACTGAAAATTATCAACACCATCAAATTTATAATTAATAATTAACACAATACAAAACAAGCACAAAGGACGATTCAGAGGCATCAATAAAACACTTAAACTGATTGCAAAAGGATTTTGGGGGTCATAAGGTGAAATGATGAAAGGATATTAATCAGAAACAGTGTGTTAAAAAGTAAGAAAATAAACTTGGAAACACATAAGAAGACAGTAATACTCAACTTTGGCCTTATAAAGATGTAAAGGATAATGAATCTGAAAATATTATTCATTTTTCTATTTTTTAATTGTATTCCTTATTATCTGGCGTAGACTAATGTCCCAATAAGCAAATATTTGAAATGAATTAATTCTGATAACTAATGAAGGGAAAATATCACACACACCCCCGTTGAAAGCTCTTGATAATGCTGTTGTTCACAATACAAAACACAAACACAGGCTCCAATTATAAACTTTGATATTTGTCTTGGCAGAATTTCAATTTACAAATTAAAAAGTATAAATTAAATTAACCATTAATGCGATACTATAACTTTGCTAACATGATGAAACGTTAAAGAAATGCACGTTGAGTCTGTGTGTGGTATTAAGCTCAGATGTTTGGGCTGTGCAATGGAAACTTTGAATAGAGTCACGTCAGTAAGTCAAGATGTGATTGAAGAGTGGACTGTTTTCTTTTTATAAATCCACAACTCATGAGGTTGTCATCAACTTTAGTTGTATTTTTGGGTTTTTGTTGAGCTTAACACAGCATTATTTCTTTTTTTAAAAAATTCAAAAACATCAAATAGATCTTTTTTCCCCTCCCACTGCATTCACACATGCATCCACACCTCTGTGGTCCATTTACCAGCAACCACTTTAATATTTAACACTTGGAACCATCTCTTGAGCTCTTATCTCGCCAATTTGTCATGAAATACCAAAGAAACAGGCAACCCATTGTTGCAAAAATGTCTGTTGGTCAATGGTTCTCATCAATTGTGCTTTTGAGCCTGTGAAATGGAAAAAAATGTCAGTACTGGCAGCTAAAGTATATATATATATTTTTGTTAAGGCTCTAATTAAAGGTTAAAAAACATCTTGATTACTTGATTTTAAACACTAGTGGTATGAAAATTATAAAAAATATGAACATTGTATCACTGTCCATGTTTGTATTTTCATTAAACACCTGATCAAATGATAAGAAATAGTGAAAAAATCATCTTTATCTGAAAAGCTTTAATAACTCAATCAAGTACAAATTTTGTTTATATATATATATATATATCAGTAAAATAACAGGGGATTTTAAAAAGAGGTCAGATAAAGACTAAATTCAAGTTGTTGACAACACAGGGTAATTATGTAACAGACTAACTGCTCAAACTGACCAAAATCTTACCAAACAGAGAGCAAAGGGGAACTTTGGTGCAGGCTGATCAGACCAACTTTGAAACAGAGGAGAAACAAAAAACAATAACCTATCGAGCTTATTTTCAATATTTCACCTTAACTGAACAGTAGTACAATAAAGGAAATCAATTCGCTAACTCAACAATCAAATATAAATAATAATATTTTTTAAATAATTAAGGTCACCCCCCCAAGATGCATCACTTAGCACATTCCAAGTAAACCTTCCTGTATTTAGAAGTGCTGGTTGCAAATATGGCTGGATCTCACGTGCTACGTGGACCAGAGTGAGCAGAGTGAGATGTTTTAAACGTGGCTAATGTGCTTTCAAATGTGAAATGAACATGAGTACATAAAATCAAAGGTTAGGCGTTGCCATTAATGTGTTGAGTGTGGTAATTGCGGCTGTTATAAGAGCACAGATCTTATAGCTGAACCACATCCTGTTCAAAAAGTGCAGGAGTCATGTTATTATTATTATTTCTTGGAGCATACAGGCACATAAATTATCGTGATCCCGGGGGGAGTAGCATTAAAAAAAATCACAGAGTAATATTTGGAAGTGATAGGGAACAGATATCTTTCTTGAGAAGGACCTTTTCAAAACCAGTTATGCAAAGATAGGGGCTTGTTTCAGCACGATACATTGCTATGGTAAATAGAGAATATGTTTGTTAAATACTTGTGTTTGTAAATCAGTTCCCAGGATTAAAGCGCACGAGTCACATCCGCCTTATAAAGACAAAGTAGAGCCAGTTTGTACAGGACACTGCACGTTCCTGACACCACCCCTGCGTCCGCCAGGCTCCTGAACACCGGCTGCGCATGGACGTACAAGTCCACGCAATTACCGCGCGCGGTGTCATTCTTGAACACGCAGTCAGGTGTCGCGCTACTATCACGCTACCGGCGACGCCGCCCTCCTCCTCCCACACACACACACACACACACACACACACACACACACACAAATGTTCACGGCACTGGAATCGTTTCATTTATTTATTTAATAATTCAGTCATGTGGATGAAATGCACAGGAGCGGATGACGTAGCGCGCGCGTTCTAACGTGTGTGTATGTGTGTGTGGGCGTGGAGGAAAATGTCAACGTGCAGCGCAAGAAGAGGCTGGAGCTGATGAGAGTCATGTTATTACGAAGCTTCAGCCTTCGCGTTAGCTGCTCTAAAATATCTGATATCCGGGGCGGAAAGTTTCTAAAGGGGTCGGCTGTCGGCAGTTAGCGGAGCCCGGGGTGTTGAGGAGGCGGGAGACGTGAGTTCATTGAGCCCTCCACAGCGAAGCGAAGCCCAGCCTCCCTTCCTGCATGTGAAGCAGATTGGGCAGAGACGTTCACAAGCCTCGGGCCACTTGTGACCGCCGTTGACCTCCTATTTCAGGTGAGTTTGTTCGCTTTGCAAAGCCGGGGAACTTCTAGCGTGTGGTTTGTTGACTGACAGGCGGCTAGCTCCTGTGACACATCCGCTAACGGTGCAGCAGTAACGGATAGAGAGGCACCGTCTGGACCTCATCATTTCTGGCTTTCGATGTGAGTTCAGCCTGCCGACAGTAACTGCCAAGCTTCTTGTGGAGATGTGAATATTGTGTTTGTGGTTGAATGCTGAACCGATATGACACAGCTGTCCCACTCTGTCAGCTAGCCAAAGAGGAAGCGTGAACCTCGATGATAACGGGCGATTAACATTCAACTGTTTTTGCTGCCCCCCCCCTTCATATCATCAGAGCTGTTACATTATCTTCCCGGAACAAGAGAGGCCTCTGGTGAAATATTTAGACCAGATTAGTTTGTGGTCACACCAGCACAAGAGCACCGTGGCCGTGTTTGCTGAAAAAACATCAACACATAACACCGTGCAGCTCTGAGTGCAAGGACAGCCGTCCTGGCCGGAGGATGATGATGATGATGATGATGCTGCAGCAGCAGCAGCCTCTCGCCGTGGGGTGTGGTTGGTTAGCCGGACAAACAGGTTTTCAGCAGTGTAAAAACCCTCCCACCCGGCGGTAGTCTACCCTTTAATCTCCTATTTGACAGCTCATTAGAGGGCCGGCGACATCGCATTAGACCATAATGCATATCCGGCATATTCCTCTGCCCAGGCAGCCCACTACCATGCATGTTGTGTTTCTCAGGCTCTGTCTGTCATAACAGTTTTGCTGCTGCTGTAGCAGGCGGCCCCAGAGGCTCGTAAATTTGCCCGAGTGGACACCCAGCATGTGTTGCACACTCACTTGTGTTTGATCAAAAGCAGGGATCCACATTGTGATGCCTCCCTTATGAGCTGCTTAACTGAGCCCAAAAAAGTGGAATTAAAGTATCATATTGCAAAATACAGATCTGTCTACTGATATTTTGGTCTGCTCTGTCAGATTTAGCAATTACATTTCCTGGGACCCCAGTGTACGTCACTGTTTCCCCCTCTCTTTCCTTCCCTTTCTATAACTTAATTTGTACACTAATACTTCATTCATAATCCTATTGCTTTCTCCATATCTCTGCCTTCCTCAGTGTAATGTGCTGAGTGACAGCCTGCTACCAGAATAATCCCAGTGCTCTGTTATTCTCATGTGTATAACGCTCTCTTTCCTTATCTGCTGCACTTTCCTCATTCTTATTGTGTTGCAATGCCGGTCTGGAGCGGGATGAGGGTATCACTGCTAAAGCGCAACCATGCATGCAAAAGCATACATACTCATAGAGGTACACAGAGAGGCTGAAAGCTTTCAGCAATGATAATTACGACTATGTTAACACATTAATAGACACCAAAGACCAGAGCCTGTGCAATAAACCAGCAGTACAATGTATGTGTATGTGACACAGTGAGAGAGAGACTATTGTTTGTGTGTTTGGGTTGACTAGTCATTGGGGTCAGTAACTTGTAGTCATTCTCCTGGCATAGTAGTTTTTAGGTCATATACTCCACTAGTCTTGCTCTTGGCTGGGTTACTCGGCCTCTCGATGGGATCTTTACAGTGTATCTTAAGTGAATCTCTAGACAGCAGAGGGTGTGTGCGTGTGTGTGTGTATGCAGACTGTGGAGGGGTGTCTGGATCATGGCCAGCCTTGTTCTGACAGTCTACATTCTGCTGATGACTGCAGTGAGGAGGCTTGTTTCTGTGTGTGTGTCTGTGTATAGGCCTAGGTGTTGTAACCAATATGCAGTGTAAATAAGATGCAGTATATTAGCCTGTCCACACCCTCAGTGTTGATTTTTTTTTAAACTTGGAAAGAGGAACAAGGAGTCAGTGTTTGAGCTCCTATTTGCTTATGTACTTATTGGGCCTTTATGTTGCTGTAAAGTGTACTTAATGTTTAACCCTCGGTAAGCATGTGTGATCTGTCTGGCTTTCAGTAGATTCATCTGTTAGTGTGTAATAAGCTTGTGTCCACTCAGAATGTCTGCTCAAGTAAAAAAGTTAACTATTAAAGTGCATTACTGTTACACATTCATGCATACAGCACTTCACTATAAGTGCTTTTTATCTGTCAGGTGCACACTGACACTAGAAAGGATGAATTGGGAGCAAATTGGGGTTTCGTATCTTGGCAAAGGACACTTTGACACCTGGGATTGAGATTGAACCACTGATATTATGATTGGCTCCCGAGCTGTAATTGCAACAAATTCAATGATTAATGCAAAAGCAACAGTTGTGAAGTCATTGGTATGTTAAAACAATTGTATATGTCTGCAACCTTAGTTTTTCATATGGCAGTTGAGAACAGCTTTATTGCACTAAGTACTTTCCGCTTCCTCTCTTATTTCCCCTGGGGTCACCACAGCGGATGGAGCCACATGTGTGATTTGGCACAGATTTTACACCAGACATAACCTGACTGAGTTTATGTCTCGCCCAGATTTCAGACCAAAGCAGTCTTACATGTGTAAGGCAAATATGCACCAAGGAATCCAAACACTTCTTTTAAACCTGTGGTTCTCAAACTTTTTCTGGTATACCTGACCTCAGAAGTTGAAAAGAGTTAAGGCCATGGATGGTATAAAACGCGGGCGTAGCTTCCGGCTGAAAAAAAAAAAAAAAAAGACACTATTGCGGAAGTGCTTCAAACCTGCATTCTACCTGAAGGCCACCAGATGGCGTTGGCTGGGGTTGCAAAAAGAACTTCTTGTTGTATACAAGTTTATGGGAAAACTAAAGAATCAGTTACTCATTTGGGGTCATGTTTAATTAAAAATTATGTCTGTTTGTAAATCTTGCTCATACTGTTTGAAAAAAAGAGTATTATCCATGGTTCATTGGCTGACGACTTGCTGACCAGTCAACGAGTGAGCAGTTTTCAGTCAGAACTGCTCCCTCTCATCCATTTTTTAAAAAAAGCCAATATGGCAACAATGAAAACTCTGCCACTCTCAATTCAACAGTTAATTCCATATTTTTTTTTCCTGTAATCATCCTCACCTTACCTGGAGTGGCTCCACATCCCACCAGGGGGGCCCACCCCACAGTTTGAGAACCACTGCTTTAAATGGATGGGTTAAGTCAAATGTAACTCTAACAAAGTCACTGGGAGCTATAAAGCAGGTAATTAGAGAGAAGAAGATAATTAGTGACACAACAACACACATAACAATTAATAAGGGTAATCCCTTCCCCAAAAGATGATGCTGCAAAGTTTTGGCATGTCACACACATTTTATTTACTTTTTATTTTATTATCTTACAGTCTAAAACATATTTCCTCATTTGGAATTTTTTTCTTTTTGCAGTTATAGTATAGTGATTTAGCTCAAGATGATGATCTCAGAGCTACATTCACTGCACTTAAAAAGGCCTTGAAGGCAGTTTTTTGTTGATTTATTGTTCAGTTTATATAACGTGTTGCAAAATATGACTTATGATTGAAGTCATGAGTCATAGTGACATTTTTATTCAGAATGAATGTGGGTTTATATTAGCTAAATATAGATGTTGAAGACAAATCTGTTAATTTTGTCTGGTGAACTGTCTTGTTGAAGGGTTTTGCTTCCTTTTCCATCACAGTGTAAGCTACACAAACAGTTTACACTTCGAGTGGACGAGGTAATTTAAGGTCTACGATCTTTGCTGGTTTTTGTTTGCTCCTGCGAACATTAAAGGTGGTTCTTAGCTTCTCGGTGCCCCTATAAAATTTTCCAGTTTCACATATAACATTCCTGGCTTTCAATGATCTATAAAACTTTGAGATTTAGCGCCTGGCTGCCAGCTTGGGAACATGATGTGGCTCCAGAAGGCTTTGTGGGAACTGTGGGTGGCAGATGTCTTGTAGTTGCTGCACAAATATTTTAGACTCAGGTGAAATCTTGGCTTAGTATTTGTAAGATACATACTCAACTTATTAGGTACACTTTATGGTTTATTATTACATCAACCATGTTCATCAGACCTTTGGAAATTCTGAGCAGAGATGCCTGTTTTTTTTCCTGCATTTCCTGAGTTGTGTGAGTCACAAAAACAATATAAAATACCATATCTGTGGTCACAAACTTTTAGTTATTCCATGTGTGGGTAATTCTTTACTATTTAAAAATACTCTCAGTGCCACTATAACATATCCCCATATTTTGTTTTCAATGCTCCCCAGTCTACACTCACAGACACTTTTTTTTAAGGAACACCTGTTCAATGCAAACATCAAATAGCATGATTGTTGGTGTCAGACAGGCTGGTCTGAGTATTTCAGAAACTGCTAATCTGCTGGGATTTTCCCAGACAGCGTTTACAAAGAATGGCTCAGAAAATATCCAGTGAGCAGCAGTCCTCTGGGCGAAAATGGCCTGTTATTGTCAAACGTCAGAGGAGAATAGTCAGACTGCTTTAAAGCTGATAGCTGATAGAAGTCAAATAACTCCTTGTTACAAGCAAGGTGTGATGAAGAGCATCTCTGAATGCAGAACACATTGAATTTTGAAGCATATGTACTACAGAAGAAGAAGACCAAACCATGTAGTCTTTACATAATTTCCTCTGGGATTGGCTGGTGCTCCTTAAGATCAAGAGGTTAGAGTTTTTGGCTCACTAAAGGTGGACATTAGAAGATTAGAAAAACATTGCCTGTTCTCATGAATCTTGATTTCCGCTGCAACATTCAGGTTACCATAAACAACATGAAAGCATGGCTCTATCGTCCCTTGTATGAAAGATTCAACGATGGTTGTATAATGGTGTGAGGGATATTTTCTTGGCACACTTTGGGCCCCTTACTACCAGCTGAGTACTGTTTTAATCCAACAGGCTATCTGAATATTGTTGCTGACCATGTCAATCCCTTTATGACCACAGTGCACCCATCTTCTGATGACTTCCAGCATAACAACATGACGGCACACTAAAAACACGCCATGTCACATAGCCCTAATCAAACATTATCGTGTTTCTTAAACAGTTAGTTCACTGTATTCATATGGCCTCCGCTGTCACCAGATTTCAATCTAATACGGCACCTTTGGGATGTCCTGGAACATGAGATTCACATCATGGATGTTTAGCTACCAAATCTACAGCAACTGTGTGATCTATCATGCCAATATGGACCAAATTCTCTGAGGAATGCTTCTGGCAGCTTGTTGAATCTATACCACAAAAAATGAATGCATTTCTGAAGCCAGAAGGGGTACAGTGCAGTACTAGCAAAATGTACCTAATAAAGCGGCAGATAAGTAGATCTGTGTTTTCTGCTGCTATGACGTTATGCAATCTCATCTCATCATTGATCGAGGCAAAGAAATCTCTGATCTCACTTTATGTCGTGTGCTTCTTCCTCTGTAGTATTTTTGACAAGCAACAAACCCTTGGCTTCCTGTTTGCACTAACTCAGTGTACACGAACAGTCAAGTGTGATATGTGCTTATGGGTCTATCTGTGCTTCCTTAGAATAAGAAGAAAAAAACAGGGAAACCATATGTCATGCCTCTCAGCCATTTCAGCTGTGGCACACCTGGTTTTTGATAACAACACTGACATGCATAAACATGCTGAAAACAGTAGAAAGTATGCTGAAGCCATTTATTGTTGTTGCACATAAACAGCACATAAATTATATGTGCATGTTTCCACCTCACTTGCCTGTGTGTCAGTTGTCTGTTGTGCTACTGCAAATAAATACCCGTTTGTTACTATTGTGAATGGGGTAGAGGACTTTTGGTGGCTGTGTGAATATGTGTCAACTGTATCTGTCCCTAATTGTTCAGTTTAAGACTCTGTCTGTGAATGACCTCCCTCTATTGCTTTCTCTGTCTGTGTGAATAAGTGTGAGATCAGTAACATCGCCATGCCTTTATGTAAGTCTGGATAGATGAAGAGGGGGTGGGGAGTTTAAGGGGACAGAGGGGAGTTGGGTAAGAGCTAGTTTTCTTTTGTAGAAGTATGCAATTTCCTTCCTGTTTTACTGCTTTACCTCTACTGTAGGTTATATCTTCCACCTTTTCTCTGTTATTCCGTTTCCCTTCTCTCCCTGCCCCCACTGGTTCCCAGCATTCAACTGTGCACACTGTGTAAAAATTCATGTGGAAGAAAGCTTCCTCGCCCTCCAGCATCGACGCATTTCTGTCTCTCAGTCAACCTCGTCTCAAAGATGCAACCAGATAACAATACCATGTATGCACTTACGTATTCTTTTTTTTCTTTTTCTTTTTTAAATCTGAAGCTTCTATACAAATAATGAACTGTATGCTTTTCACATCCACCGTGAGGCTCCTTCTTCCCATCATCCTTTGCTATGAGAGGCGTTTTTGAGAGCAAGTGTTGCCTTGGTAACTATTTCTGCCATCTGTGTATGTTGTATGAATGCGTGGCAATGTGTATGTAGAGAAAGATGGAGGCACCTGCGGTCTTAATGCTCCAGCTTCCTCATTGTTGCATTATTTATTTAATAGTTAGCAGAATGACTGGAAGGTTACTGGGTTACAATCCTGAGAAGAGATTAGAGGAGTCCGCTTTCAGCTCGGAGGATGTGTGCCACTGTAACACATCTGTAACAAAATATGCAAATAAAATAGCTGCTATCATAACCTGGCCTTGCTTAGTGAGTAGGAGTATAAGAGATATTCAGTCGTTAATTAAAATTCGTTGGTGTTTATTTCTGTATGCCTCGCTTTTTTGCTGTTTAGCCAAAGGTGATATTTGATTTGAAAAGCTAATTTAATTATTTAATAATCACATTTTCAATCAAGATGTGACATTGTGGCTCCTGTAATCAGAAAACAATGTTAGTGACTGCCCTATTCTAATATATCCTTTATGTTTAGGGAGTAAAAGGAGACTTTGAGGCAAATGTTGCTCTTATATTGTGCTGTGAATATAGCGGAGGAATCAAATGACAGTAATGCAAGCAGCTTCTGCCTATATTTGGCAAGACAACATGAAGATATCTGCTTAAAACAATAATCTATTCAATAATGGGAAGACAAGAAGAAAGCAATAGAAAGGCAGACATGGACGAGGTGAAATTAGTGAATTGTAACTCCATTAGAGCACTGTGTGAGTGTTTGGCTAATTGTCATCTTAGTGATAAAAAAGTAGTGATATGTCATTAGTTTAGAACAGGTAGGAAAGATTTATGGGATCTGCAGCCTGAAGACTCGTGAAAGCAAAGAAGAGATTTCTTAATCTACAGAAAGGAAGAAGGCTACTGTGAGATGCTAAAACTTTGATAGCCAGACACTTTTTCATGCACTGTGGAGCTGCTAAGTACAGCCCAGGGACTGCAGCCCAGGATGGTGATAAATGGCCCATGTGTATATGTTGGAGAGAAAAGGGTGGCAGAGGAGAGTGCAAATGTTAGTCCCCAAAATAGTTTGTGTTCCCCAGGCTATATTGCGTCATTATTTGGTTGCTTAGCCCCGGAGTATTGTAGTTCTGTGTAACCCAGATTTTAACCCTGACTCAACCTTTTTTTTTCCCCTCTCTGCTTGTCTGTCTGTCTCTCTCTCAGGTAGAAACTCTCTGCAAGCTTTAGCAACAATGTAGACGTCCCGATGATGATGATGATGATGATGCAGGGCCTTGTAGGGAGGAGGAGCAGCGACTGATTTTCTCCTCAATTTTATCACACCCTGCACTCTATGTCCGTCCCGACTGGGCGGCTAGAGTGCTATGTCATCAACCACACCCCCATCGGCTCAACCGTCTAAGAAGGGACGGAAGCCGGAGAAATCGGAGGTGATGGCTGATTCGGTGCCGGCCACCAATGAGGAACTGAGGAGCAAGATCATGGACCTTCAGATAGAGCTACAGCAGGAGCGCGGGAAGGTGAGGGTGAGGAAGAAGAGGAGGTGGAAGAAGCTGAGAACATGCGTTTAAAGTTAATAAATGTGGTTGAGAAGTCATCTCCTATTTTATCAACTCAGCAGAAACAGGATAGAAATGGTTGCCAGTTTTATTTATAAATTATTTGCAACCAATGTTTAAAAGCATGTAAGCACACTTATAAAGAAGCAATATCTCTAATAGGACAGTAGGGTTACCTAGCGTGCAGTTTGGCTATTCTGTTGCTGTGAAGCAACAAAATACATATACTTCTTTTTTTTTCTTTTTCTTAAAAAAAGGTCTCCGGGCAGTTTATTACTCCAGTCTGCTCACTGACACACAAACCTCTCTGTGCTCATCTCTCCATCCCTCATGGCTAGTTTGTTTTAGTCTGCCAGGACTTAGAGTAAAAATATGGAAATATGCACAATAGAGTCAGGACAAACTTTATGTAAATACTGATGGCTACTTGTCAGGGGTACTCTAATCTATATTCTGCATTATGTCCTTCTATCAGGTATGCAAACTCCGCGAGCGGCTCCAAGAGCAGCGGCAGGCTCGCGAACTTGAGCAACACAAGCATGCCGTAGCACTCACTGACCTGCGTGCCAAACTCCATGAAGAAAAGCTACGTGAAATCGCTGCCATACGGGAGACTCTGGCACGGCAGCATGAAGCCGAGCTGGCCAGAACAATCAAGATCCGGGATACTGAGGTTCAGAGGCTGCAGGGTCTTGTGAATGCACTGAGAGATGGAGCTGCTGACAAGCTCAAAAATGCCCTTCTTGCAGAGGCTAGGGAGGAAGCCAGGAGAGCCTTTGATGGGGAGAGAATAAAGCTCCAGCAGGAGGTAGGTTTTAGTAGGTACAGGGGTGACAAGTATAACTTTTTCACATGTCAGATTGTGGAAAGTAGAACATGTATAGGGTATATGTTGATCTAACAAAGTTGTAAAATGAGTATTGCAGACTTGATTTTCGAGTGCACTTTGTGTTTAAATACCCTTTGTGTGTGTGTGTGTGTCTGTGTCTGTGTTTTTGTGGGACTATGCACACTTTTGTAATTTGGTCCTGAAAAACAGGAAGCAGGGTGGAAAAGCCTGTTGCCAACCTATTGTTTCACTGTAGCCTACCTAGATGCCTAGATCTGTCATTAAACTTATTAATAGGATAAGAGCAAGTATTTACAAATGCACAGCTGATGTTCTTTTTGTTGTTTTTGTTTTTGTGTATATAAATATTAAAATGTGTGCATCGGGCCATTTCAGATTCAGGAGCAGAAAATGGCTCGGAAGCAAGCCGAAGAGGCTCTTGCAAACGCTCTTCAGGCTGATAAAGCCAAAGCAGCTGATCTCCGCACAGCCTACCAACAGCACCAGGACGAGGTGCACCGCATTAAACGCGACTGTGAGAAAGACATCCGCCGGCTGGTGAGAACACATAAAGCTGGAAGCCACAATACTGTGTACCCTCCCTCATTTTTAGATGACTGATAATCAATAGAAAAAGTATTTTCTAAAAGACATTTATCAGAATCCACTTAACTGTCAAGCCAAGATGAATTAAGTTTAACTTTAAATTGAATTTCAATTGGCAATATCATAATCACAAAGCCCAATATTAATCAAATAACTCCATTATTCCTGATTAAATAAGCAATAAATAATCACCCTTAAGTATTAAATACTAAAAAACCAGAGCAGATTGGCCTCACCAGGCCAAATCTCACAAAGTTTTTAAATCCTGTTGGTTTAAAGACACACAGGCGCAAAAATCTACCTTTACTTAAGCTTAAACTTTTTTTCAGGTAAATAGAGGTTTATGTTGTGCTCTGTTGCTAAGAAGCTGATTAAGAAAGTGTTATTGGGGCATTAAAAGTGTAATAGTCCTCCCTGTTATCACTGATTTTATTGTTGGAGATTAAACATGCCTCTTTATGTGCATCACAAGGAGCTAACTTATTAGTGAAGTGCAAAAACAGGGAGGTGTACTGTGTGCAATAAGCAGACACATCTTACACTGCATCATAAACTAAGCATGTTATGCCTGTGATAGATTAGCTTCACGAACCCAGCAGCTGTTAACGCTGTAGTCCCTGTCTGTCCAGATCATATTTGAATGACACACACACTCACACACCTACACACACACACACACCCACACACAGATTATACAGATTGGTTTCCTTCTACTGAAGTTCACTTCCAGCTCGGGGCTTATCTCACTGATGTAGCATGAAGGTTAGGAGCTAATTGCCACAATGTCTGTCTTGACCATGTGGTGCTATCTGCAAGTATAAATGTCTGTGTACCTGCTGCAGTTACTGATTTACCCTATTACATACAGGAGGGCTACAGTAACAGGCATTGTTGTTAGTAAAGGAATGCTTGAGTGAGGAAACTCAAAGAGTAAAGCACGGCTTATTGATGGAGAGCAGGCGGTGCAGGAAATACCGGCGTTAAAGAACAAAATACGGAGGGAAGTAGAGGTGGTAACAGCTGTCAGGAGGGGTTGCATGAATGCAGAGCAAGAACAGAGGCTTATAAATTAATCAAACCTAAAGCAGAGTGTTATAAAAGCTAAAACATTGTTAGTCTTCAGCAAACGCCATCTTACACTGAAGCTGTGCACAATGTACATACATAAATTATAAAGAAAAACATTGCACATATGAACTAATATTCACATATTGGAGGTGAAACGAGTGAAATGATTAGATTTAGATTTAATCGAATCGGAGTTTTCTGCTGCTTCTCAGAAATCTCTGCACTTTTGTAGACAATAAGAACAATATTTTCAGTGCTTTATTTTGAAAAATAAGACCAGACAGAATAAGACAAGAGATGGACTCCAGCTGCTTAGATAAAGATGATAAATGAGAGTTGAGAGGTGGTTTACATGTGAGTTTGTGATGTGTGGTGAGTGAGAGGGTTCCCCTTTTGATTCATTCTGGTATAACCGCAGTGGAGGGAAAATAAAGTGTAAACAGAAAAAAACATTAATAAACTAGTAAAATAAAAATAAATAACATGAGTAATAGAAAAAGAAAAGACTGGAAAAGGTCTTAAAAATAAAATATTAAGGACTTCAGTTAGACGTAAAAACTATTTACTAACTCCTTATAATGGCTATAATCTAGTTCTGTTTCACTCCTTTAGATGGATGAGTTGAAGGCAAAGGACCGGGTGGTGTGCGCTCTGGAGAGGGAGCTGGGGTTACAGGCTGGCTATGCCCAGAAGCTTCAGCTCCAAAAGGAAGCCCTGGATGAGCAGCTGGGTCAGGTACGAGAGGCCGAGAGACACAACCATGGCAGCCCGAAGAGAGAAGTGGTGCCTGGACTAGGAGAAAACCCAGACTTGCTCAACAACCAGGTATACAAGTGTCAGTATTTTATGCTTAAGATATTTTTATATGTTCCGAAAGTTTCCCATATTTACAGATATTTTATATTATATTTTATATTACAAATTTTATACAAAGTAAGCACAATGTGAGGTATTTCTGGTGAGGAGCTTTTAAAGAAAAATAAGTGATAAAAAAAATCACAGTGGAATAGTGATTTTGTAGTGCAATTGATAATATTGATATTAATAACAGATGCCATAGAGTTAAAAAGTGAAATTGGCACATCTGTGAATCCGTGAGCCGTACATGGAGAATTTAATATACGTTGTTGTTTGTGCAGCTTTTTCCTGATTCCAGCCAACGCCACAAAATCAATTTTGAAGGAATACTTAAGTTGTCTTTACAGACAAACATTATATATAAATAGCGCTGTATAAATGTGTGACTGGGTGCATGAGAGATGCAGTAGATAGTGCTTTGAGTGCTCATCTGACTAGAAAGGCATTATTTAAGTACCAGTCAATTTACCAGTTCATAAATCACATGGTTACTGTACTTCACATACACATTCACTCTGTGAACAGCCAAATCATCTTTCTTGCCATCACCTCCTTTTTACTGTCCGTCTCCATTACCTGCATGCCTGCCTGCATGTACTCCCTTTTTCAGTTGTTGTCTTCCTCCTCCTCTTCTCCTCTCCCCACGGCTTCACAGGAGGTGGAGGAGCGTGACATGAGGAGGTTCCAGTTGAAGATTGCAGAGCTCCACTCAGTCATCAGGAAACTGGAGGACAGAAATGCACTACTGGCCGATGAGAGGAATGAACTAGTGAGAAAAACACGCGTGCAGTCATTATAAACATACAATTATACATGCAGACATTTTTTAAATTATAATTCGCATACGTTTAGACACCATGAAGAGTATGGATGTCGAAGAAACCTGAATCCGAATATTTCCTAACTTCCTCACTGTTGATGTTGACTGTCCTAGTTAAGCTGGAAATTCTGTGGCGACACTTAAGATTACAATGTCCCCCCTCCCTGTTTCCTTCCTCTGTTCAGTTGAAACGGGTGCGAGAGGCAGAGAGCCAAATGAAGCCCATGTTTGAGAAGAATAAGCGGCTGTCCAAGAAAAATGATGACCTCCTGCAAACACTGCAGCGCATGGAGGAGAAACTCAAGAACCTGAGCCGTGAGAATGCTGAGATGGTAAGTGCAACCAACATGTCTTCCTAAACATCTGCTGGTGACTCTTAACTCCCTCTTTTTTTAACCTGAAGATAAAATCAAAAAGTAGTAATAGGATGTAGTAGATATTATAGTTTTATCTAGTCTATTCAAGACGTTTTATGGTTTTTAGGGCTCTCTGAAGGAAAGAGGACCTCTGCTGGTCATTTGATGAATAGCATGAAAAATAATTAGTCCATCTGTTTCCCTCCTGCAGAAGGAGAAAGCTTCCTCCTCTCGGCCACCATCACAGCAGCAGTCTGTTCAGGCCCAGATGAAGCGACCAAGCTCCCTGACCGACCTGACCCACGCCCACGAGGAACAGGAAGTAGAGTTCCTCAAGCTGCAAGTTGCTGAGCAACGCGGCATCATTGATGAGCTCACGCAGGTCAGGACAGGGTTACATGCCTGTTAACACATAAGGTCATACAACAGTATATACTCAGATAACATTACTCTGTCAGCTCGTCTGTTAGATGTTTTTAGATAGCTCTCACTACAATATCTCTTAATGTATTGGCAATACATTATGGCACAAGATTATTATTGTAGGCATAATATTAGGCCCTGACAAATGCAGGAGTATTAAGAGAAGTAACAATATTGATATTCAGTGATTTAAAATCGTATATTCCATTATATCAGCTGAAAATCTTTTTTTCTTTTTCTTTCAGACACACGAAACATGAACAGATTTACATAATATTTCTTATGTGTAGTTATTTATTTACTCATTTAAGCTCTGCCTGTTCTGTTTGGATCAGCTGGTTGCTATGTTAAACCTGTTCCAAGCATTTTTATTTCCCACAGTCAACTTGCCCTCTGGTGTCCAAACTGCAACATCAGCACTCCACATTGCTCTTCTGTCCCGTCTTTACTTTTTAAATGAATCGGCCTGTATTGAGTGCCGAGGCCAACAAATCAGCAAACAGTTCTGGCTCTGCAAATGATAATATGATTTTTCATGTGTGTACTTCACTGGAAGCGTATAGAGGTTTCTGTCTTGATATTTTATCTGTAATATGTCAGTGGATTTTTTTAAGTGTGCCAATAACAATATACAAATACATAATAAAATCATCTGCATTGCCATGGCTAGAAGGGGGACGTATTGTTGTACTGTCACTGTCACAATTGTTATTGTGACAGTACTAACCCTGAAGTTGTGCTTCTCTCTGCATTTTTGACCCCTCTGGATCAGGGGAGCATACATGTCTTATACATGTCAGAAGGATCAATGGTTATATGTTTTTTTTTTTTTAAAAAACCCCAAAAAACCTTGAGAAGAATGGCCTAGTCTTTAGTTTTTGCCTATGTTTCCCCTCTTATCTTCTTTACATTCACTGACACTGTCAGTCTGACAGCTTGAGTTATTAGAAGCTGCTAAATTCTTGAATTTACAGTTTAATGCTGTGACTTTATTTAATTTGAAATATAGAAAAGAAATGTAACTAAATTAGACTCTGCTGAACAAAACATTTTATGCTGATGGCAGGTAACGTTTTGATTGATCAATGTGAATCCCGTGCCGCCACAGATGCCTCCGATTGCTCTCTTAAAGGTCAGAATTTAAAAATGTTCATCTGTTGTGTCTTTAGGAACGTGATCGATTGGTGATGAGCAAAAAGAACAGGAAGAAACCTTTCAAGCTGCCGAAAGTGAGTTTTCATCAGTGTTTTTACACATCTGTTAATCCAGTGGTGTGTAACTAAGCAACTTCCCTATCTGTGGTTGACTGACCCTTGAGCATTGTTTTCACTTGTGTGTTTGTGTTTAATTGGGCTCAGGGGACAATTATGACACCATCCCTCACTGCTGGGACCATCACAGTGAGCACACACGCAGCTAATTGAGAATTATTTGTTTTGGGGGTTTTTTATTATAGATTTTTTTATAATGTGAGTATATTTTTGTTCTTTATAAGATAGTGTTACTAGAGACTGGACATGCATCACAGAAACTGCAAGCTGTATGCAGCATTTCATGCTTTTATCTGTGCCAAAGGGATTAAAGGGATGACAATATCTAATTGGCTGAGGTGACAGAGTTTGAAAGAAATAATTGCTAAGTACTTGTGTGTGCATGTTTGGGCTAATACATCAGGGGACATTTTAGAGTCTGCGATGTTGCTAGGAGGAGGAGTTTGTAGATGCATGACATTTATTTTCTTCCTCCTCCTCCTGGAACCAGTTTGTTAGCTTGGCAGGTTCAGCACTGAATTGGGGCACAGCAGCTTGGCTTTTGGACTTGCACCTGGAAATTTAGCTTTCCTTTTTAGGACAAACCCAGACACTGACCATTTTTTTTCGTAGGAGTTTGATTGTAACCAGAGGCTTTGTTGTCGGCTTTTTAGATTTTGTTTAGGAGTGACAAAAAAAGCTGTTGTACTTTATGGGCTGCACTTCAGTTTTTAGATCTGCTGGTGTTTTTGAAGATATGATAGATGTATATTTAAGATATTATTTGTAGTTTACTTTTTGGCCTGGCAACAACATGACAGAGTACATCCTCTTTATCCTCTATTTCTCTTCTTTCATTTGCCTGTGTGCCCTGGTCTGCCTTTATTTCTCTGGTTGCCAGGAAATGACTTATAAACATGATGGTAAGCACTTTGGAGTCTGGAAAAGTTAAAAGCAAAAAAAAGTAAACAGTCAGTGCAGTCATTCAGTCTAAGTTTTTTAAAATGAGATTACTGACTGAATGACCGTGTCTAGATTTAACAAGTTTGAACTTTTAGTCATTTTTCCTCTTACTTTGCAAAAGTAATTGGATTTCTTTTGGGTTTGATGACATCAATATTTGGTTTAAAAGTTTCCTAAGCTGAAATCAGATGCAGTATAGTTCTGGATAATAATTGTTTTTGTTTCCAACTGTTGATACGCAGAATAACATATGTGTAGAGCTGAGGTTGATTTAACCCTTTCCCCCCCTCCACTGCTCTCTGCAGAGGCATGTTGTGGAGACATATTTTGGATTTGATGAGGAGTCGATAGACTCTGAAACCTCCTCACTGACCTCCTATAACACTGACCTCACTGACCGCACGCCTGCAACTCCAGAGGAGGACTTGGAAGAGGTAGGAAAGTCCTTTTGTATCCACTGAAAGAAATATCTTAACATCTTAAACAGCTTCAAGATGTGGAAAATAAATCTTGGGTTAATAAATCAGAAGAAAGTAAGATGGAACGTTAACAGTAATTTGCAGATTAATATATGTGATTATGAAAAAGTAAAGGGTGAAGCTTTATGTGTTAATTTGACACATTCGCTCTTTGATATCACAGAGCATTTCCCGTGAGGAGTCAGAGCTTCGTTTTCGTCAGCTCACTAGAGAGTACCAGGCTCTTCAGCGGGCCTACGCTCTCCTGCAGGAGCAGACTGGGGGGTCTCTGGATGCAGAGAGGGAGGCCAGGGTTCGTATCTGCTGCCACCTTCCAAATGTGCTACGTACAAGTCTAACTTCCAATTCAAGAAAATATTTAGAGCATAGATCCTCATTATGGTTTTCTCAGTCTGCTCTATTCATTCCTTTTGTACTTGGATTTAAGTCTCTGATGGCTCATTTTCCCGCCCACAGACCCGTGAGCAGCTGCAGGTGGAGCTCAGCAGCTGCCAGGCAAAGATCGTGGATCTGGAGAAGGCCCTGGCTGAGCGGGGGCAGGTAATAAAGACAGTGGATGGGGACAGAAGCTCACTGGTCCTGCTCTCACTGGGCCTCCTGCATGTCTGTCTGGCTGCTGTGCTCCTTGGCTGGCGCTTTGCTGACCAGGTCTGCCGCAGATTCCTGTGATGTCACTTCCTGCATGTGTGATGTCAGTGCTGTGCCTGCATTCTCTCCTTCACCCTCTGCCCTTACCGATGATGGTGTTTTATTTTAAATACTTGTGTCTGAGTTACTCATCACAGATTAAACACTTCAACCACCTTGATTCATTTTAGCTTTGTATAGATTAACACATAAGATTTTCATGTGGTAGTATATAACTTTCTGTTAAAACATGAAAATACTCACTTAATACAACTTGATTTTGGTTATTTGATGTGTACGAAAGGCATCTTGGTCTGAGAAGTAAGCCAAACCACTGGATGTGTAGTAGGAAAGCCTCTGGCTTTTTTTTTTGCTTAAAGAAAGTAGTGAGAGAATCACTGAATTTATCATGCCGAGTTCATATCAGGACACTTTGTTTACTTTTTTGTGAAGCATTTCATTGAGTTACTGCATGTTGCCTGTGGCTTGATCCAGCTGGTATTCTGACTCGCTTTGCTGCTGTTTTTCATCTCAGATTGCCATTTGGTCCTCATGTTGCTGTGAACTCTTGTTGCCTGTGATTGCAGCTCTTTTGCTTTGGTTATCTGATTTGGCTTCATTTGTCTGCATCAATAAACTTGTGCTCCTGCCACCCTGTGCTATCTTTTTTGTGTCTGTTTTGCATTTGCTTGTGTCTTTTAAGCTGCAAGTTTGAGGGATGGGAGTTTTGTTCATCACACTATGTCATTGCAGATCCTTTAAATCCTCTTCTGTTCCTGCCAGTGTCATTTCTCGCTCATGTTGTGTTTGGTTGTTATGGCAGGATTCAAAGTGGGTAGAGGAGAAGCAGTACTTGCTCAGGACCAACCAGGAACTGCGTGAGAAGGTACATTAGATTAGCCTTCTATATCAAGGCATTCAGTACTAGTTGTAATACCTGATTTTCATGATCAGATGTGTTCTTTATTAACCACCTCTGAAAACGTTATATTTTGTATAAACATAAGCAGAATAAAAACTTTTACTGAGAAAATAGTGACAGAGTTAGTTAATGTAGCCGTTTAAAAGATAATTATCTATGTAACTCTCAGTTGATTAAAAAATTGATAACATTTATAAGATAACTAAAAGTAAATACACAATTTAAAATGTATGCACGAGAGTAACAGCTGTAAAGATGTGCTGTAAAGTTTGTAGTTATAGACACAGAAAGCAAAGTCAATGCAGTTCCTTAAGTCTGCATTCTGTCTAATGGCCAGGAGGGGGCAGATCCTTTGGCTCAAAAAATAAGTCAGGCTTTATAGAAGTCGATTGGAAATAACCCTCAGCTCCCTTGATCAGTGATCTAAGTTAACAATTTCCAGATGATGTTATGGACTTAATCACTAGGTAATTATTTTAATATAAAATTATGTTCTTTTGCAAAACTTTGGCCCACATTAAAATAAAAAAGAAACCTCAAACATATTATTTGTAAGAGTGGGCCTATTTGATTGATGCCAGTACAAGTGTGCAGTGTCTCTCAGTTTCACAGTCAGATTCACTCACAATTTTTATATATGGTTTCAAAATTGCAAGAAACTGACAAAGCATTGCAGCTAGAGTGGCTTTGTCCATCTTCTTTATACAGTCTATTACATATTGTGCACGGTGAACAGACTTTTGGCATCTTGGACACTGTCCTCAATATTTACAAACAAGACTTTGAAACATTTCATAGTGTTTAGTATGTGTAACGAATCTGTTGTGTTTGCAGATGAGTGCGCTGCAGCAGGCGGAGTCCCGGCTGCAGGCTGAGGTTCAGGATGCTCGGGACCAAAATGAGCTGCTGGAATTCAGAGTCCTTGAACTGGAAGTAAGAGACTGTGCCAACATCATACTGTCACCAGGAGGTGACAACAACAATCTCAGCTCCAGACGCAAGACCTATATACAGTGACTCATCAGACAGACAGACATAGCCTTAAACACACTGCTCAGTTCTTCACTGTATGCATCTGTGTTTCCTTGTTTTGCATGGCAGCTGTGTACCTTACCCTTTACTGAAATTGAATATTTTTGTCAATGAAGAAATGTTTTGTCAAGAATATAATTTTTAAGTAAATAAAAATATATTTAAGTTCACCATCCACTCCCATTTTTCTTCATTTTGTCTCATTTTTGCATGCATATCCCAATTTTCTGTTGTTGTATTTTTCACAATTTGAAAGTTGATGTATATGAACAAAATGAGGACGGATCCCATGGAATTATGCTTTTGTTTCCTTTTCTTTTAAAAAAATAAGAATTTGCATACCATACTATTAAGATGATATTTTTTTATTTCTAAAGTCCCATCACCCTGATGGAGTCCACTCTCCATCAGTTTAAATAGCAGTTGTATCTCAATGTTGGGAAATGACACGTCACTGGCTTAATTTAGAGTTTCAGCATGTTATTCTGTTGGCTTGGTTTCTTTGACCCCTTTTCCATCGGTTTTCACCGCCCTCCTTTGGCAGATCCTGATCATATTGTCATTGTCATGTAAGTAAATCCCTCATTCCCTGCCATTTTGCATAGTGTCATTGACTTACACCACCATTTATTTTTCCTTTTTGTTGATCAGAACTGCCCGTGGTACAATGAATAATTGCATAGCTGACATTATGTGTGAATATTAACACATTGTTTGCATACATAGGAAAGGGAACGCAGATCACCTGCCCTCAATCTCCACATGTCTGCGTTCCCTGAGAACAGTAGCAGTGCCCTGCAAGTCTACTGCCACCAGGAGGGAGTCAAGGTGAATGCACTAGTAAAAAACAAACAAACTAGAACCTTTCTTCTAAATGCTTTCTTGAGTACCTGCACAGTTAATATAACAGCCTTGATGATTTAGTTTGGGGGTTTTTGCAGGATGTAATCATTCCTGAACTGATGAAGAAGTTGGATATTCTGGGAGATAATGGGGTGAGTTCGAACCCACTGTAGAAAAATCACTTTAGTCTTAAAATTTCTAATGAGTCTTTGTCAATGTTGTATTTTCTAAAGAATCTCAGAAATGAAGAGCAGGTGGCTGTGATCCAAGCAGGGACTGTGATCTCACTCTGTGAAAAGGTGAGTGGAAAGTTTCTCTTTTCTGACACACAGTGGACAAACATTGCTATAACACCCTGTTACCACAGCAAAGCCATTTCATTCAAGCCTGCATATTTGATATAGCAAGGATTTAATGCTGGATGCCTTCACTGATGCAACCCTCCCCGTTTATCCAGGCATGGGACTGGCACTAAGAGTACATTGGTTTGTGCCACACCCCTTGGCTGGGTTAAACATCCCGAGCAATGGACAGTGCACAAGGTGAAGGAGAGAGTGCAGATAGGGTGTTGTGGGTGGAGTTGAGTGTCAGGGGTGATTTGTGAGAGAAGAATAGCAGCAAGAGTAAAACAGATTGTTGTGAGCTCTGCTATGATGTATGATTGGAAGACACCGTAAGAGTGGCAAACTTGAGTTGGTTTGGACATGTGCAGATTGATATATTGGACAAAAGGATGATAAAGATCGAGCTGCCAGGCACGAAATAAACGAGAATGACCACATAGAAGAGTCATGGAGGTGGTAAAGGAGGATATGCAGAAGCTCAGTGCAACAGAAGAAGATGCTAGAGAAGGGGTGAGAGAGGCAAAAGAAGAAGATAAAGACGGATTTCATTTAACTCATTTTTTGTTTAATTTAGATTAATCTTATAGAAGCAAAATGTGAATCCCACACCTTTCTGTGTCTTCATTTGCAGTGGTTGAAGCAGATAGACAGCACTGAGGCTGCCCTCACGCAGAAGATGATCGACTTGGAAAATGACAAGGTGAGAAAGTTACCTACAAATGCATAAAATTCAGCTTTCTACAACATATTCAAAGCAGCGTGTTAATATTATAGTCTCCTGTTGTTATTATGTCAAAGAACTTATCAAGACTAATACGTAATTATAACTATACTACTATGTACAACATGCTACCTTCTACCAAGCCCTGCATTATAGATTATAACATCTTATTGCAGGAGCTGTTTAGTAAGCAGAAAGGATTCCTTGAGGAGGAGTTGGACTACAGGAAGCAGGCCTTGGACCAAGCCTACATGGTACGAAGCTTGGAGCAATAATACACAGCGTGCTTTTACCTGCATATGAACACAGACATATCTACTGCTTACCATTGTGTATATTTTTACTTATAATGGCTGATGATAAAGTAATTCAGGAATGCAGGGGTGCAGCATTATCATTTCAGCATGAGATAAACATCTAGGACCCTGTTAACCATCAAAAATGCAACATGCTCCATCAAGGTAAAATTTGCTACATTGTGTTGGGATACTGCATCTTTTACCACTGAAGTCTAAATTATTTTAATAATCTTAGCCACTCAGTTGGCCGGGATACGTGGCCACTTGTTTATGACCTAAACCTCGATCAGATTTACTCTCTCTTGATTTGAGAAAGTATGATGATATGATATAATTCATTTATGAATATCCTATTTAAAGTTGCTCAGGAGAAAGTTAAAAGAGTGAGTTTAATAATAAGGTTTTAATTATATATTTTTAAAGCATGAATCTTAAAGCATTCTCCACTTCCACTGATTTAACTAGACTGTAGCCAGATAACAGAAGTTAACACTTAGATCATTCGCCATATAATTCTAACCATTTTACTTGGTCAGTTTTGGTGTTGCTTTGTGTTTATAGTCCCACTCGATATTGTGTTGGGCTGATCTTGGTTCTTACTTGGAATTTGTTGTTTGAACAATGTGTAAAGAAAAGCACAGTTTGTGTTGTTAACCAAATCAAGTGACCATGTAAAAACCAAGGTTGAATAGCCCTCAATGTAAAGTGGAAAAGTGTTCCCCATATCTGCCATGGTCACAGTGTTGTGTGTATGTGTCTGTGTGTTTGTGTGCATATGTGTATTCCCTTGTTTGTGCTTGTGCATGCCTGTGTGTGTTCCTGCATGTGCATGTGCACGTCCGTGTGTGTGTGTGTGTGTGTGTGTGTGGGTGTATACATGTATGTGTGTATATGTGGCTGGCTGTGCAGAGGATCGAGGAGTTGGAGGCCACGCTGTATAGCGCTCTGCAGCAGGAGCAGCCGGCATGCCAGGCGGTGGCTGAGTCGCTGACAGACAGGCAGAGGGAGGAGCTGAGGCTAGCCGTGGACAAGCTGCGGCGTCAGATTCTCCGGCAGAGCCGGCAGTATGACAGTCAAATCTTACAGGAGCGCATGGAGCTCCTACAGCAGGCCCAGCAGGTAAGGCTCAAAACAAACCCAGTCAGGTTGTTGAGTCCTGCCCTCCCTGAATCTGACCCCTGGTACCTGTCTGGAACTTATAACCCCACCAGATCTCTGGTGCTTTGAAAAAGATGCAGTATCCCTGTACGTGCTACCTGTAACTCTATCTGTAAGTGCATATGTAAAAGTGGGTGAGTGGAAAGATGAGACAGAATGACCTTGGATTTGTGTGAGTGTTTGTGTGTTTCATTGTGATCTGAATACCCTGACACCTTCAGTATCCCTCCACTCAGCAGCCCTTTCGATACTTTACACCCATGGCTTTTGGCATTGTGTTATCCATTGACTACATGACACTACATGTACTCTAACTCACTAACAAAATATCCTCTAACCGTACTTACTGCACATTTTTAATGTATCTACTAATTAATATGCTCAAACTACTGAACCGATTAGAAATCAACATGTTTGCAGGTCCGAGAAATGCATCTGATTTAATTTGTGATATATTTTACAATAATAACTCTGAGAATTATGCTCACTTAAAAAGTCCCCACAGTGTGGCTTTTATTAACACTCGTTCCAATTTCTCTGTAGTTAAGAAGTGATATTTAACTGGAGCATTCACCTCAACCTCAATTTGATTTGCTGCACAGGATATTAACTTCAAAATGTCATGTATTTGTTTTAAAATATGCCTGCCTGCCTCAGTTGTATTTATGTACTGTATAGTGAGCACTCACAGTGGAAAGCTATTTAAACTAATATGTTAGGAACAAAGAACCGAGTCACTGATGAAGCCACTCAGCTTTTAAGTCTCAAACAGTGTCACTGTTAAATCTGCTCTTCAGTTGCCATGGCAGCTCATTCCAACAGCTGCCATGGAGACAGTATGGCATGATGGGAAAGTCAGAAGAATATTTGGAGTGTCTGCAGGAATAGATTGATAGCAGCCTAACTTAACTGTTGAACCATGTGTGAAATAAATAAAGAAATGAAATGAAATGTTGTTGCACCTGAGGAAATGATTGTGTCAGAATCAATCAGATGTGTTTCGCGTGGCCACGAGCTAACCACTTCTGTCTTTTTGTTGCAGAGAATAAGAGAGCTGGAGGACAGGATTGACTTGCAAAAGAGACAAATAAAGGAAATAGAGGAAAAGGTACACACTCAAATTTGACTTGTTTTTTATTAGTGCAAGGTATCAATGACATCTTCTGTGCGGTGGTGTTTTCTAAACTTTTTGTCACTTTTTTCTTCTCTCTCTTTCCTCACCTGTTGATTAAACCTCTTGTGTTCCTTTAGTTTTTGTTCCTCTTTTTATTTTTCTCTTTAGCATTTATTCTTTGGCCTTAATGAAAATGCCCATGGACCCACATCAGGTAGAAGTAACTGTATAATACTAGAATTCGGCACAGTTTTGATGCCTGCCAATAATTCTTAGGAAAGAGTTCAAATTTTCTTTTCTTTTTCTTAGGTGTTAAGGTGCTGTGGTGGCGAGCGAAGATGAGATAAAACCTAATTGTTTTTTATGCATTTGTAGACAGTTCAACTAAACCTTATGGCCTTTTTGATAAATGTGCACTTTTGCAGAAGACTGGAATGCAAACATATTTGAAAATTTAATAAATAACCAGATATACATGAGAAGAAAGTGAGATTTATTTATAAGTAACATCTGTTATAGTGATCCCTGGACCTGGAACATAAAACCCCAACTCCTCTGTAAAGCAAACACTTTGATTTAACGAGGGAAAAATCTGAATCAGAAGATTTACAAACGCAAGAAGAGCCACAGCCTCAGCTGAAGGAATGCCAAGCAGGACAATGGAAGGGGACAAATGGAGAGAGGAGAAGAAGAATGAAAGCACAAGGCTGACTGACAGGGTGAACAAGCTGAGCGCCAACTGGATATGGAGGATTTTGGCAAAGTCCAACGTCTGTGCCGTTTCTAAGGAAACAGCAGTGCGTCTAAGTTCGCTGAGCAGGAGCTGAACTATTTGGAGGTTTCTTGACGCACTGAAAAGGAACGAACGGTGAAAACGCAAAAACAGGTTTGTTGTTTCACTTCACCTTTCAGAAATACTCCTTTGCAAATTTGTCACCAAGGATGGCTTCGATTAAGGTTTTGTGACTTTGTCTATTTTTAGATTACAAGAAATCTGTAAATGATTGAATTTCTAATAACACTACCACTGATTTATGTAATTGCACTGTTACACATTTGCCACACTTGATTGCCAGAAATCTCAAAAACCTTTTCGTGAATAGTTTCAAGTAGGAACTCTTTTTTCAGCTAAACTAATACACTGCCAGGTGGAAGTGGCATGCAAATAGCTACCATAACGGTTCAGCTGAGTGGGACACCGTTAATGCTTACATCCTGTCACGGTGCTATAAGCAGACACCTCGTGTCACTGGTAGTTGCATGCATCTTTCTGCACCTCCTTTTTGGTATTAAGGAAACAGTCTTTCAATATGAATCTGGTTTGTGGATGTCTTTTTAGCATTGCAATCATGATTTCTGCAAAAGAGATATTTAGCAAATGTACTTTTTTACCACAAAACCTCTGTTTCCATCATATTTAAGAGGTGCCACGAATCTCCATAGCTGATACTTCCAAGCCAGGATAACTCAGAGCAAAACAATAGATAAATAAAAAACACTACAAGCAAAAGAGAAAAATTGGTGCTTGTTTAATTTTTGGAGTGGACCGTCCCTCGAAATGTTTAGGTTCACGTTTTTTTTGTATATATCTTCAAACAATATTCAATCAACGATATTACTCAACGCACACTATGTCCAGGAGCAATCATCAGTGCAGACACAAACTGTTGAACTGAAGTGATTGTATGACATAAAACTTTTGTATGTTTGTCCAGTGTGGTACAGTAGGAGGTGCAGGATGGGAGTGGATGATTAGAAGGAGGCGTAACCTGATAGATTATTGTGTGTCCA